GCTTTTAAAGAGTCGGTACGCACATTCTGTGTCATTTCCATAATCGAGTCGGTATGGATAAAATGCTCCGGGAAAGCCGGCTGCAAGGCAGGATCCCCCAGCAAGGTGAATGCCCGGTAATTCATGAGCACAAAGGGGTTCAGCACATTAATATAGGCGGTATTTTTACCCCGGCGGTATGCTTCACCAAAGGAATACCATTTGTTCTGGTTGTGCACATCAAACTGTGCCGTCAGAAAATCTGCGTTGATCTCCCTGTTAATATCAGCATATACCAGCGCCGTTGTTGTCAGCATGGCAATAGCACCACCATCTGCTTTGGTAATCAGTTTCTCCCCTGCTGAAGGCGTTTCCGGGCGGTCATAACGGCTAAAATCACAGGTTGCCGTAATCATAAACGGTAGCTTATTGATATTCTTCCAGAGCCCGAAATCAGCAGCAGTCAGCACGCGCTCATGGGTCAGCGTATAGATACTTCCATGCCCTGTAAAGTTGATCAGGAAGGTGCCTTTGAAGATCGTGTTATTGATCGCATTATTCCCTTCCGGGCAACGCTCCCCGCTTGGTGTGGATACGAAGGGAAGGTTATCAAGGTAGATCTTGGTACTGTTGTACAGGTTATTGGTCTTTGTCTTGATAATGCTTTCCATATATTCTGCCTGCATCAGGTGTGGGCCTGCCCCATCTTCATTATCCCCTAAATAAGTATTGTTCAGGCGCCAGGGACCCAGCGAGGCCGGACTTGTATAAGCAATGATTTTTGCTGTCATCGCTTCCGCTTCCTCTTCGGTACCTACCGGCAGCCGCCCCACGCCAATATCCAGGGTATTGGCAATTTTAGCATCCTCAATATTTTCATTGTCATCCAGCATGGTATAAAACTCATCCACTACATAACTGCTGCCAATGGCAATAGATTCTTCGGATTCAAAGGTGGGTACAAAATTGGTGTTACCTGGTATCCGGTTTTTATAATCATAAGAGGCATCCCCAAACAGCAGGATGTTTTTAGGCATCTCCGCTTCGTTTGATCCTGCCCGCAGATAAAACATACGCGCCATATCCCGGATGGCACTGATGTCCTGACCACCTGATGAAAACTCATTATACACCTGCTCGTTGGTGACCAGCAACACCCTCATCTTATCTCTTTGGGTATGGTAGTCTGCCAACTTCCTGGCTGCAGACAGAAACTTGTCATGCGTTACAATAATCAGGTCTACTGCTGCATGACCATGAATATCCTGGTTAGCAATTTTTCCGCTGAAAGCCGGTGTACCAAAGGCAGAACCGTCAAAGGCCACAAACTCATGAAGGCTGGCAGCATCTTGTGTAAAGCTATAGGTAGTGCCAGACAGCGAACCCGCCATCATTACCGG